AAAAAAGAAATAGAAGAAGACATTAAAAGATAGAGAAATTTACCATGTTTCTGGATTGGCAGGATCAACATAATCCAATTGCCCATATTGTTGAAAGTTATACACAGATCCAATGCAATCCCAATCAAAATCCCAACCTTCTCTCAGAAATAGAAAAGATGGAATAGAAATAGAAAAGTTCATCTAGAAACACAGGAGACCACGAATGACCAAAGTTATCTTGAAGAATAAAAATAAAACTGCAGGAATCACAACTCCAAACCTCAAGATAAACTCTAAGGCAGTGGTCATCAGAACAGTGTGGCATCGGTACAGAAACAGAGGAGACCAATGGAACAGAATAGAAACCCCAGAAAGGATTGACATGTACAGTCAACTAATCTTTGACAAGAGAACCAAAATAATCCAAAAGAAAAGCCTGGTCTCTTGCACAATTGCTGCTGGGACTATTGGATTGCAGTTTGCATAAGTAAGAATCAAGATCCCCACCTCTCACCTTAAACAAAAATCAGCTTTAAATGGATCAGGGACTAAATCTGCACCCAGACTTCTGTATCTTTGCGTTTGTTTACACTGCTTTCAGCTGTCAGTGGTTCCGGGTTTGGACTGGGTATCCTGCCACAGGTTACTGATATTTTGTTTCTTCCAGGTTTTTTTCTCTATGCTCCTGTTTTGACTTCTTTTCACCTGCTTCCAAGTTTACTACTCCCCTTCTTTGCATCTAATCCATTATTTATCCAATAGTACTTGGTTCTGATATTTTGCTTCCTATTTCTTTAATTTCCATTTTGTTATATTTGAGGACTTGTCTTATATCCTGAAATCTCCTACTTTAACCACTCTATTTTTGGCCTGTAAATTTCTTCACATATTTACATATTGTTGAAGGGGCTTTTCTTCTTATTCTAATAACTAGGGCAGGTCTACTTCTATCACTCCCATCGTGTCTTGATTATAGGTCCTGTTTCTCATGTATTCTTTTGTCTACTGTTTAATTCTATTCTATTCTTTTTTTAAAAAGTACTTATTTCCACTTCATTGGAAAGGCAGACGCATCGAAACAGAAGGATCTTTCGTTTTCTGGCTTCCTCCCTAAATGGCCACAATAGCCACAGGCTGAAGCCAGGAGCTTGGAATCCAATCGTGATCTGTCACGAGGGTGACTGGGACACCAGGACTTGAGCCATCACCTATTACCCCCCCCCCAGGATGCACATTAGCAGGAAGCCAGATCAGAAACAGAGCTGGGACTCAAACCAGGCACTCTGACAATTGGGTGTGGGTAACCCAAGCAGATTCTTAACCACTAAGCTGAATGGGCACCTCTGTCATATCCTGGAAAGTGTATATTTAAAACAATGAACTTGAAGTGTCATTTTAATTTGTGCTTTGCTTGTTTCCTAGAAAACCAAAATCTCCTTGCTATCTGACAGAGCAACAATCCAATCATTCAAAATTCTCCTGGAATACAGCAGATCTGAGATGACAAACAGCTCTAATTAGATGGAGTTCGTGTAATTAGCCCGGCTACCAACATCCTCCTGTGGGGGTAGTGAGGGGCTAACTTTTTGATTCTCACTTAGATGTGTGAATACATAAGACTGCTCATGTTTCTCTCCTTTGGTGCCTCTCCCTCACCTCTGCCTTCTAGAAAAACACGGGCAGGAGTGAGGCTAAATAGCAGGATGGGGGTCTCTGTGCATCTGAGTCCTCTCTGTTTTGCTGGCCTGCATGATTGCTCCATGTGTTCTAGACACTTCCAGATGTCAGTTGGACCTGCCACCCTCGGCACTCCAGGCAGGCAGGAATGACATGCCCTAGTCCTTGTTAAATGTCCATCTCAGTAACTGCCGTCTTTTCCCACCAGACGGAGGGTCCCACCTTCCCACATGTGGGGGCAGCCACAGCTGTTGTTTGTTTCTGGAACTCTGCTGTTCACCATTCCTCTGCTCTTCTTGAGTGCACTGCAACACCTTACTCCTATTTTCTCTAACTTTTTCTTGCTGTCACCACAGGAACAAAGGCCTTTTGCACCTGCTGACATCCTAACCGGAAGTGGAAATCTCTGTATCAGCTTCTATCATTAGTAATTGTCACAGGCCCTAATGAAATACACATACAAACGGGACTGTCAGTGCAGCAATGATGCAGGCTGTGACCGAGAAGCGTGTGAGACCATTTCACAGATGAGGAAACTGACATTGTGAGAACCTGAGTACCCTGCCCCATGTCACATCACTAACAGAGAGAAGAGGATCAGACCTGTTTATTTCTTTATTTTATTCTTGCACCATTGACTTTATTAATTATCAAGGGTCACATCTGGGCAGATGAGGAGGCAAGGCAAAATCTTGGTGAGGGCTCTGTCAGGGCCAGCTTGTAGGTCATGGGTTGAGGAGTTAGACATCACACGGCAACGTCACTTGGCTTGAATGCTGGGCTCTTGGCTTCTTCCATCTGCAGGGGACATTACCCACTCGGGATACAGGCCTATGAAGCTGTTCTCCATAGCCCACTGGGCCCCCAGATTTCCCTGGCAGGACTCCTTCCTGTCCAGGAGCAGCAGTGAGATGTCCTGGTCAGGAGGGTGGGGAGGAACAGGTTGGGGAGCTCAGCCCAGACAACAGAGCCCTGCTCCTGACAGCTCCCCCCTCAGCCCAAGGTTGAGCTCGCCCAGGTAAACTTGAACACTAGGAGCATCCACGTTGCCTGCATGTGGACCCGGCTGCAGTGCGTAGCGGACAGCTTGGCAGGGCACAGAAGTCTCTCACAGGTCCGCCTTGGCCCGCCTGACAACCAGGTCGCAGCAGGGAACGTCAGGGATGCTGTCAGCCTCTGTGTGGCTGCATCTGGGTGAAGTCAGGTGCACCCATCATCGCCACTGCGCAGGCGACTATGTCTGCTCCCTCCTTACCTCTCCTGGCCTGGACCATTGCCTTCCTTCTTTAGACTCCCCAACTCGATGTCTCCCACCTGAGAGTCCGGTGATGGCCAGTGTGGGACAGAAGCCAAGAGCTAGACACCTATACTGGGCCCAGCCAAGGCAGTGAGGTTGTAATGGAAGATTTTGTTTTTGTTTGGGCAGCATCTGGAAGCTCTCGGTGGCTGCCCAGCAGCAGGAGAGGAGCAACCCAGAGATTCCTAGAGTGTCAGGATTTAAATCCAAGTTGTCACCTCAGATACAGTCTTTTTGCCTGCTCTTTTATAAATGAAGGATTGCTTGATTTAAAAAAAAAGAAAGAAAGAAAGAATTGTTTATTTGAAATGTGGAGTTGTAGAGAGAAAAGGTGAGACTCACGTGCTGACTCACTCCCTAACAGCTAGGGAGGGGCCGCTCCAGATTGAGGAGCCAGGAACGCCATCTGGATCACCCAGGTGGGTGACAGGAGGCTCAGCACTGGGTCATCTTCCACTGCTTCCCCAAGTGCATTAGCGAAGAGCTGGATCGGAAGTAGAGCAGCTGGGGAGACTCGAACTGCTACTCCTAAGGGATGCCAGCTTTGCAGGCTGAAGCCTAGCTGGCTGCATCACAGCGCAGGCTCCAGGACCATTTAATTACATTAAAGTGCCAATAAATCTTCATCCTGCAACACACATGCTCTCTTGACCCAGCAGAAGAGTTTAATGTCTAAACAATTCAGGGGCCCCTCCTTCATGTCCATCAGGCTGGCCAAGCACCTCCTCCTCCTCTTCCTCCTCCTCCTTGGCCAGCTGCAGCAAGTGCGGGCAACAGGCTGGGGTAGTGGAGGAGGAGCATTCAGAGCTCCAGACTATTCTTTAGTCCTCAGATTTCATCCTCAGCAGTAAACATGACCTAGGATCGGGCTCCGCACAGCCTGAGCTCCAACCACCCCCAGGGGCTGGTTTCTGAGGACTCGGATCTGTCACAGCCCTGAGCCACAGCCAGGAACAGACAAATTGCTCCTCAACCAGCGCCTTCAGAACCTGTGCTCAGCTCACGGACACATGTGGGATCGCAACAGGTGCCACGTCTCACCGTGCAGCTCAAGTCGCAGTCAGCACAGACTGTGTAACCTCTGCAAGCTTAGTTCAGAGGAGAGAGGTATCCCTGAGGCTGGGACCTGCGGCAGGGGGTGGGGGGGCTGGGTCAAGGCCAGGGCCTGGCCTGGTGGCCTCTGAGAAGCTGATGCAGAGGCATATCACCTGCATCCCTGGCGGGGGCTGGGGGCTGTCCTGGGAGAGCAAAGGCCGGCAGAGAAAGCCACTGAATAAGTGCTGAAACCCTAGCCATCTCCCGCAGCTCTGTGTCTTGCCCGTGGAGAATTCCGGGTCAGTCCCCTGGGTGCCATAACGCACAAGGTTTCTACATAGAGAATGCCCACAGGTGAGAGCAAGAATCCTCTGAAAACATGATTGGGATGTCAAATGCCTGTATCTCACAACAGGTTCCCAGGAAGCTGACTGCACACTGGAGGTCAGACCTCTGACCTCTGGGGTGGACAGGGACAAAAGGGTAAACTGGCTAAGCAAGAGCCCAGGCCTTGGGGTACCAGCAAATATTATCCCTCCCAAGGGCTACAATCTCCCAGGCTCACTTGGGACTGGCTACTGTTTTAAATTTTATTGCAATTTTTCGTTTCTTTGAGAGGCAGACAAACACATACATGCATGCACACATGGAAACACACAAAGTTCCCTTTTGTTCACTCACTTCCTAAACGCCTACAACAGCTGGGGCTGGGATTGGCTTGAGCTAAGGCCAAAGCTCTGAGCCAGAAACTCAATCAAGGTGCACCACCTGAGTGGCAGGGACCCAACCACCGGAGTTAGTATCTGGGTCTGCATTAGCGGGAACCTGGAGCGAGAAACCTGAGCAGGGACACATCCCACTGCAAAATGGAAAGTGGGCGTCTTCTCTTCTAGGCTCACCATCTCCTCCGTGGGCCTGGTTCTTCTTGAAGACCAGATTACAAAGAGCCATGGGACACCCCAGAAATGTCTCCAATGTGAGCACCGAGGCCTCAGCTGAACACAGGGAATGCAAGCAGTGTGACGTATTTATGATTGCTCTAAATCATACAGTGGAATCACCAGGAAAACAAAACCCTCCCAATCCAAGGAGATGACAGAAGAGCGTGCATCCGCGAGCAAAGAACATGACGCCATCACAGAGGAACGCAGGGAACAGAGCGCTCCTGGGGAAAAACATAATAGCAGGAACAACTCTGCGGGCGGGAATGAGGTAAAGCTGGGGAACTTGCACTCCAGAGCATGCACAGAGTACATCCCGGAAATCAGTAAGAAAACTAGAAAATGGATATGAGAGCGCCAATACTCAAAGCACAGGAATTTTAGAGAGAAAGAGATACAGTGCATGCGTGTGTGTGTGTGTGTGTGTGTGTGTAGAAACAGCAATGCAAAACCTTTCTGAATATTCAGTCCATGAAGCCCAGGGTTGCAAACCCCACCAGTGCCCAGCAGATCTCCACTATGGGGAAGTGTTAACAACAATGTGGCTTGCAGACTTCCAGCACCAGGGAAAGTGGGGGCTGGGTGGTCTTCCAATACCCCCATAGTAAAGGTGTGGTCCCCAGAGTGACGTGACTGGGTGGGGTGGAGCCTGCACTGGATGAGGTTCTTGCATCACCGGTTTGTGGGAGTTCTCGCGGGACCACTGGCATAGAAGCCCACGTTTGGGCCGAGCGACTCTTTGCCTCCTTTCTCTGTATGATCCTCTTGTCTCATGGATCCTATCGTGGGCACCCTTGTTGGACACCCACCCAGAAGGAGCCATCGGATCTCTGATGTGAGTCTCCAAACCTGTGAATGAAACCACCCCGATCCCTACAAGTTGGCGGCTTCAGGTGTTAGTTCTGGTAGCGACAAACAGACTCAGACTTCCAGAGAACTACAGAGCAAGGATGGTTTTAGGGGCCACTGTTCTGGTGCAGCTGCTTAAGCTTCTGCCTGAGACACTCATCTCACGTGAGTGCTAGTCCCAGTCCTAGCTGTTCTGCTTCTGATCCAGCTGCCTGTTAATGGCCTAGGAAGACAGCAGAGAATGACCTCCTGTGGCAGGGCACTGTGGATAAAGCTTTTGCTTATAGTACCTCCATCCCCTGGGTTGTGTTCCAGATGCTCCACTTCTGATGCAGTTGCCTGCCAATGACTTGGGAAAGCTGCAGAGGGTGATCCAAGTGCTTGGGTTCCTGTATCCCTGTGGGAATCCTGAATGAAGCTTCTGGCTTCAAAACAACCCAACTCTGGCCACTGAAGTCATTCTCTCTCTCTCTCTCAACTCTCTTTCAAATAAATACATAAATCTAAAGAAAGAAATACTTGGGCCCCTACAGGAGACCTGGTTATTGGTTTCTGGCTTCAGCTTGACCAGTCCCAGCCATTGTGGACATTTAGGGAGTGAATTTAACAGGTAGAAGATTCTCTCTGTCTCTCCCCCTCTCTCCGCCATTCTGCCTTTCAAATATGTTAGTCAATGAGACACAGCACTGCATCCATGCTAGCTTCCTGATTCTGACAGTGTCTTGGGTCAGTGGAGAAGGTATCTTTGGGGGAAAGCTGGGAGAAGGGCACGCAGGAACCCTCTGAACCATGTTGGTACCTCAGTGTGAGTCTTCAATAATTTCAAACCAAAAAGCTATGTAAAGATCGTGACAGACCACAACCCCAATAGGAGTCTATGCTGTCCCCATGCCAGACCCCCCCCAGAGGGAAGGTCCCCAATGGCCTGCTGTTTCCAAGGTCTGGGGTACAACCTAGGGGCCCTCTGGCCCATCAGGTGCAACCAAACCCAGCTCGCAGCCCATTGGTCAGGGGAGTCAGAGCAGGTGGAAGACAGGGTTCTCACCTGACTCGGCTGCTGCCTCCCCACCTCATTGGCAAGCTGACCCTCCAGCTGCAAGCAGGGCCAGTGTGCAGAAGCAAAGCTGTTCTCTTCCAGCAACCTTTGTGTAGATGGAGCTGTGGAAGAGGAAACAGAACTTGAAGCATATGCTCACCGCTGACATTGTCCTTTTAAAAGGCAATGAACCCCTGCTGGTCCCTACTGGGGAAAAATAAGGCTTAATCTTGTGGCTGGCTGGCATCTAGAGAAACTGGCTGTTCTTTCCAGCGTTCTGAGGCTGTGGGAGCCCAGCCACCAGTAGTGGGGAGAGGGTGAAATAGGGCCCACCACTGGGCAGTGCCAGCCTGGTCAGCCTCCTTCAAGTCCTCCTGGGGAAGGAAGCAGAGAGAACACTGCATTTGGAATCATTATGAGGTGAGCTTGAATTTGAGGGCTACCTGGCCCCAAATCTACTTGCAACATGGTGACCTTATGCAGGAGCCGTCTACCTCCCAAACATCATATTCTTCCCCGCAAAGATGGATGTTCAAAGGGACATCTGGCAAGCCTGTGTGCCTGATGGAGTCCCAGCAGCTTGTTGTATGTGTGCCAAATAGCAGCCCAGAGAGGGTGAGCTGCTTGTTTGAGACCACACTGCTGTTAAGGAGGGGTCCCTCTACCCCAGGTGGGAACCCTATTGGTAAAGATTTAAAATGTGTCCCCACCCAGAGCCACTACACTGGGGTGTGCACCTGGGTGCTCCCAGATGTTAATTGAGCACCTGCCACATGCCAGACAGTTCAGGAAAAGCCGTAGTTACAACCCGGGCACAAAACAAGGCTGGGTCCCAAAGAGGTGGCATCTTACTGGGGGAGGTGGCAATAAGCAGATAGCAGTGTATGCTCCAAGGTCACAGAGGAAATCTGCTAGCAGGGTGTGATGAGCATCTTTGTGAACTGTTTCTGTCCAGTGGAGGATGTTGATGCAAAGTCCTGACTCCTGGGGTGGGAGGTGGAAGGGCAAGATCAACTTGGGAGTAGATTGTTAGCCCAAGGGTGGTGTTTGAGTGAACAAATGAATGAATGAATGTCATTTCATTTCAACTATTTCCCTAGTATCAGGGTTCCCAGTTGCCCTTAGAAATATCTGAAATGACTGATTTTTTTTGAAGAATTCTTTTTTTTTTTTAAAAAAAAAAGGGTTTATTTTTATTGGAAAGTTGGATATACAGAGAGGAAGAGAGACAGAGAGGAAGGTCTTCCATCTGTTATTCACTCCCCAAGCAGCCTCAATGGCCAGAGCTGCGCTGATCTGAAGCCAGGAGCCAGGAGCTTCTTCTGGGTCTCCCACATGGGTGCAGGGTCCCAAGGCTTTGGGCCATCCTCTACTGCTTTCCCAGGCCACAAGCAGGGAGCTGGATGGAAAGTAGAGCAGCCGAGACATGAACTGGCTCCCGTGTAGGATCCTGGTGCTTACAAGGTGAGGAGTTAGCCACTGAGCCATAGCGCCAGACCGGTGCATGCCTTTTTGCATCAGAAGCAAGGTGGGGGGGTGGACTGAAACCAAACTAGTGCCATGCTTCATATGAAAAGTCTCTTCTGTCACCTACTGAATCGAGATGGATCATGAACTCTCCTGGGGGGATGGAAGGTGGCAGAAGGGACACTGGTTGGCTTCTGCAGGAGAGCTAGCTGCTTGCATCTAGCAGGAGAGCTTCTGCAGGAGAGCTAGCTGCTTCTTGTCTCAGAGTCCAGCAGCCTGCCAGGCAGCCTGAGCTAACCAGCTGCATCCACCACAAGGCTTGCCCAGACCCTGACTGGCATCCCTAGCCTCCTATCACACTTGTGAGCCAGGCTGTCTGGAGCCAGCCAGTCCCAGCCACCTGACATGTTCTCCTGCTTAAACCTAAACCTAGTCCAGCCAGGGTAGCCAGGGTTAAACAGTTCGGTCATCTTTCACTGCTTTTCCCAGGCCATTGGCAGGAAGGTGAATTAAAAGTGGGGCAGCCAGGGGCCCAGAGTGGCAACCTAGTGGCTAAAGTCCTTGTCTTACATGCACCAAGGACATACTTGGGCACAGGTTCAAGTTCCAGCTGCTCCACTTCTTGTCTAGCTCCCTGCAAGGCTCCTGACTTCAGATCAGATAAGCTCAGCTCTCGCCATTGTGGCAACTTGGGGAGTGAACCAGAGGATGGAAGATCTTTCTGTCATTCCTTCTCTCCATAAATCTGAGCTGCCTTTCCAATAAAAATACATAAATCGTAAAAGAAGATGAAGACAAAGACTAAGAAGAAGTGGAGCACCCAGGACATGGAACCAGCACCCATATAGGATACTGGTGCTACAGGGAGTGGCTTTCCCGCACCACACCACAGTACCAGTCCTGATGGTTGATTTTCACAAAGTTCTTAAGTGCTTTTTTTAAAAAAAATAGCTGAAAATAAAAAGAGGTGTCTATCTGTCCATCTCCTGGGCCACAAACCTTTCCTTCCCATCTTGTCTCCTGCTCAGAGCAGTGTTAGGATCAGCCAGAGCTGGGTAAAAAGCCCGGTTGTTGCAGTCTGCAGCATAGCATTGTGAGTTTAGCTGCTGCCAGCAATGCCAGCATCCTACTATGGGTGCTGGTTCAAGTCCTGGCTGCTTCACCTCCAATCCAGCTTTCTGGAAAGCAACAGAGGATGGCCCAAGTGCCCTGGTTCCTGCACCCACACGGAAGATGAGGCACAAAGGAGGCTTGTGAGACAAAGAACAGCCTTGCACATGGGCCACGCAGGGAATGGCTTACATGAAGGCCATGTCGGAGCTTGCTCTGAGTCATGAAGGGACAAGGTCGGTACAGCTGGTTGGCTGAGATAATATGCCACCAAAACAGATAGGAAATACCAGGAATTGTAACAGCTCAGAAAGTTCCAAAATTGTGAGAGCTCAAGGCTAGGCTAAGCAGTGCATATTCACTTCTGTACCCTTGCTCACTTGTTCCTGCTTTTACCATAAAGGCTCCAGATAAAAGACAATCGGCAGGGACTCAGCCTTTTGGGGGTGATCCCAGTTGAGACCTCCAAAGAAATACAGCTTCTTTCTTTTCCATAAGTGGCTGTAGGCTCCCTGGTGGTCAGTTTCCATTACAGGAGACCTGGATAAAGCTCCTGGCTCCTAGCTGCAATATGGCCCAGTCCTGGATGCTGTGGCTATCTGGGAAGTGAATATCAATAAGGTAGGGATCCTAAGAGCAGTCATGCTTGGCTTCCGGGTCATTGGGAGCTTGGAATGAGATGATGGAACACGGTACATAGGTAGCATTTGAATGAATTTTTTCTGCTGGTCACATACATTTATTGACCACAGACAGCATGCTGACATTGGTCCTGGCCTCAGGAGGCTCTCCTAGAATGACAAAGGCCCACCCCTTGTCCCAGGGCCAGTGTCCCAGAGGATGACATGGCGATGCGACAATGACATGTGCCTATGCACACGATGAAGCATGGTGTGGCAGACAATGATCAACATGGGGCAGTGTGGGTGGATAAGGAAGGCGTCTCCAGGCAGGGGACCATCTAAGCCACGACCTGACTGGGGAGAAAGAGCCAACCACAAGAATCATGGCAGAGCAGGTGGGCCCAGAAGAGGGCCTGAAGTATGATTCAGCAGAGCTATAGTATGCTGGGAGGTGTGACCGAAGGTCTAGGCAGATGCAGGCTGTTGTTGTTGCTGTTAACTGATTCCTTCCAGCTCAAGTTCAAGGTCTGACTCAGACCAAAAGCTCAGTTCATGTCACACAAGAGCCTGGTCATGAGTCCTACAGGTATAACCTGTGTAGCATTTCCATAGAAACCCATCATCACTCCTTGTCAATAACTAGAGAGACTCCCCAAGGGCTCATATCCTTTGGGCCTACTCTGACCTGGGCTGATAAAGCTTCCCTGAGCTCAGCTTGGAGGGGCCTCACTTCCTCTTCCTCTCTCCCTTGAGCCCCAGCTGTTTAGAGGATACACAGGCATGGGGGGATGGGAACTCTTCCCAGTGCTTACCCATGGCTCTTCCACAACACAGCAGGCTGGATGGCCCCAGGCCAGGCCTGGCTGGGCAGCCCACGTCACTGGCCCGGACAGGGATGCAGCTGTGCCTCCTGGATTCCACAGTAGGAAGTTCCTACATTGATGTAGCCTGGGATGTAGCCACGCAACTGCCCGGTTCAGAGAGGCTGGCCCAAGGCACATTCCCTAGGAGACTGAGCCTTCAAGGACCAAGATCCACACTGAGGACAAATGAGGTGTGGCCGCTGGGATGGGGCCCTGCAGCTGTGTAACAGCTGAGCTGACAGGCATGGAGGTAAGGCTACCCACCCTAGAAGGCTGCAGCTTTAGAGCCGTGTAAACACACATGTGCACATGTAGACCTCCATGCATACAGCCACATGAGCACCACCTGTCTACAGCAGATTCAACCCTACGCATGGGTACTGTGAGATGGGCAAGACAAGACACAGAGACACACAGACAGCGACCGGAGGCTTGTACCAACCAGCAGGGCCGATTCCTCTCCCATGGGAGGTGACACACAGATGTGTCACTCTACACAGCGCACACACACACGCAGGCAGACGCGGCCACCCATGCTCCCGCCTTCATTCTGGATAATTGTGCCAGAAAATAGCAACACCTGCGTCCTGTATGCCTCCCTCCATGAGGCAGGAGCAGCCTCATTAAGCCTTCCCAGGAGGCTGGCATTTTCCTGGTTTCCCAGGAGGCCTTTGTGATGGGCCCCAGGGTGCTCTCGGCCCTGCCTCTCCCCAACCTCTCTCTTACCGCACTGGACCCTGAAGTCTTCATCTTTCTCTCTCCAGAATGCTTCCTGGGCCAGTGGCTCACAGATGAAGGTGGCTAGGCTGAAGCTTCTTCTGGGGCAAGTTGAGGACTGGCTCAGCAGAAGTCTCCAAAGAGGCCCTTGGGTCCCTGACTCAGGGACATGAGTCAGCTGTGGGCGCACACACACACAGGACATCCTCAGCTGCTCTTGTCTATCCCAAGGACTGAGCTCCGAATTTCTGGCCAGTAGGGGACTTAATTGCCTTTTCTGGTCATCCTAGATGTAGGTCCTTGGCCATTCTCTCACACACAAGGACCCTCTGCTGCCCTGGACTTCCTTGTCATCTTCCGAGAAGGTTCCGGGCCCTTTGCACTTGTTCTATGTGTTGTGTAAAAATCTCCCCTCATTCCAGGTCTTAGCCTGGCTCTCTCCTTACCAGCTTTTGAATCTCAGCTCAAACGTCACCTCCTCAGAAGCCTGTCGTGATCCAGCATGCTCACAGATCTCTGGGACATGAGTTCTGAGTGCTGCTGTGTTGTTTTCTTTAATCTTCACTGCCTGCTCCATGTCATGGTCAAGGTCAGAGAGTCAGGAGGCATGAAGAAGCTTACATACTCAAGACTCAAAACCAGATCAGTGTGGGTTGGTGTGAGACCCAGGGAGGAGATAACTTCATGATCCCTGCAGTCCTTACTCTACCTCCCAGAATCATGAGACAGATCGGAGTTGAGAACAAATAGCATGTGCCAGCCCACTTCTACACGCTCTCATTTGGAGGCATGGTCTCCAAGGTGGTGTGGTGGGAGCCAAGGTCTTGTGCTGAGGAGGTCTGGGATCATTGCGATGCTGCCTTGGGGAGGGAATACTTGCCAAGCCAGTGCAGGTTGTTATAAAGCCTGAGCCTGGCCCCTAAAGCCACTTCCCTCCACCCCCCCACTCTGGATTCTGGACAATCTCTCCTCCTACACATGCCCCTGCCATTGCCACCCTGACCAGGAGGGGCCCAGGCAAGGTTCATCAGCCTGAACCTGTGGCTGCACCTGTTGGTTGGACTCTCAGCATCCCAAACTGTGAGCTAAATAAACCTCTTGTTTTTATAAAGTTAACCAACCTCAGGTGTTTCGTTATAGTGATGCAAACCAGACTGATACAATGCCCATAGGTTACTTAGCAATAGTAAGAGCTAACACATGTGCAGCCCACATGTGACAGTCAGGATCCCAGGTACTTTATGTGTGTGAGTTTGAGTCCCAGAGACCCTGTGAGGAGTGCTTCCCCCTCCTCCTTTTACCAATGAGCAACAGGTACCCAGAGAATCAAACAAATCACCCAAGGTGGCACAGTGGATCCACATTGAGTTGAGCTATGAACTCTGGGCTAGCAGGTTGCTGAGTCTGGGTTCTCATTCCATACTCCCTTTGGATGCCCTTGCTTAACTGCTTGAAGCATACTTTTCTTCATGAAATGTGTACACATTCTTCTTCCAAATGAAAAAAAAAAAATACCCTAAAATGCATCCATTGCCCTGAATCCCTGAATAGCAAATGCCATCCTAATTCTTGGCACCAGTCCGGTGTAACACATTAAAGCACGGAAAGCAGTGAGCATGCGTGGGAGGGCCCCAATCCAGTGCCTGCACACAGCAGCTACCTGATGCATGCTGGGATGGCCACCGGGCTGCACAGGCCTCACAGGAGGTGCTAAACCAACGTGTGACGTGGACGCAGGTGATGACATTTGGACGCCTTCCGGGTGCCGTTCCCTCAGCGAGGCGCAGGGGCCTCCAGTAGCCCCCCTGGGACCCCAAGCTCAGCACGAGCACCATCAGATGCCTAGAAACCGCCTGTGTGCGTCATGGCCCATCTTCTATTAGCGCATAATTGCCATCGCAGGCGGGAGCTGCATCCTCTGGGGTTGGAATTACAGCAGGGCAGGAAATGGCCCGACAACAACGGCTGTGGTGGAAGAAGAAAAGGGGCTAGGAGGGGGCTGGGCAGCATGCTCAGAGGAGGGCCAGGTCCTTGGATAAACTGACCATTTGGGGTTTGGGGTCCAGAACTCATTGTATGTAAAAGGAAACTTTAAAAAGTGTGAGGAGAAAAAAAAAGAATCAAAAGATAGGGTTATTTTGGTGCAAATCAATTTTGAAATCCATTCAGGGAATTTTTTTCATAATGTGCCAACCTTTGAGCCTCTAACCCGCATCTCCCAGGAGGACATGAAGGCACACCTACAGAACAGACTTGCGTGCAGTCTGCCACGCACTTCCTCATTTGCATGACACTGAAACCCACAGGTCACCAAGGACAGCCTATCTGGATGATGGGAAGCCAGTTTTTGACCCAAGGCTGCGGGGCTGCCTCTCTGCGGAGCTGACTCCACACAGCTCCCTGTGTGTGTCTTGCAGAGACTCTACTAACATGTCCGTGAGCTGGCTGATGGCTCCATGGTCCCTTGCAAAGATGTTAGCAGTTTGGGGAAATCGCCAGCCTTTGCTGGCTTGCCTTTGCACCTGTTGCTTCCTGGATGGGGTTGGGGGGGAAGGGATAAGGTGGAGAATGACTTTGTCCCAGCCAGGCAGGGAATTCCTTCCTGCCCTTCAAGGCCCAGTTCAGAAGCACTTCTGTGACATCTCCACCAGTGCCCCAGCCACCCTGTGCTGTCCCCACTTTCAGGTACCCTCTGGGAAGCCTCGCTGGGACCCCTGGAATGATCTTCGCTTATGCTCTACCTGGTCACTCTTGGGCAGCTCCTTCCAGTGGCAGCTCAGTGACAAGCACCACGTGGCCTCACCCACACCTATGCCCCAGTAATTCATGGGTTTGGGAGCAGAGGCAATCTCTGTCTCTTTAAACATTCTATCTATTAATTAATAGGAAAGATAGAGAGGGCTCTTTCATCTGCTGCTTCACTCTCTAAATGCCTGCCACAGCCAGGACTGAGCCAGGTAAAACCGAAAAGCTGGGAAGTCAGTTCTCGAGCCTTGCCCTGCTGTCTCCCAGGGCACACCTTGGCAGGAAACCTCAAACAGGGTTGGAGCCAAGACTCAAACCTATAGGGGCTCCACTAAGGGCAGCAGGCCTCCCACGTGGCATCCTAACCACAGCGCCAAATGCCCACCTCAGCAATCTGTTGCCAAGGCCTCTGGCCGATGAGATGCGCGCTCTCAATGACTCACTGAGAACAGACAACACACATAACACGCACAGCAAACACCATTAATAGGATTGGGTGCCAAACACATGTCAGGCAGCTCGCCTGAGTGGCTTGCCACAAGCACGTGTGTGGGAGCCATTTATACCCATTATATTGATGATGAAGCTGAGGCTCCATAACTCACTTCCCTGGGAAGACAGTGAGTGGTGGGTTGGGCTGCACATTAACCACTGTCTGATGACGTTGCCTGAGTGTGGCTCACAGAAAAAAGCTGGCTGTGGGACTACTTGAGGACAGGAGGGGCCATATTCAAGTTGGGTTTTCCTCAATTTTATATTTTCAAAGTACAATTTTCAAAGATCAAAATTTTTTTAAATGCAGAAAAATCTTGCTGCTTCTCTTATCTTCTCTTTTTGAAGTGACTACTTCCAGGGACAGTGTGGTGAGGTAGTAGGTTAATCCTCCAATTGTGGCGTTGGCATCCCATATGGGTGCCAGTTTGAATCCTGGCTGCTCCACTTCCCAGCCAGCTCCCTGCTTATAGCCTAGGAACGCAACCCTTCCATTCGCATGGGAGACCTGGAAGAAGCTCCTGCCTCCTGGCTTTAGACTGGCTCAGTTCTGGCTATTATAGCCATTTGTGGGGTGAATCAAAAGATGGAAGATCTTCCTCTCCTCTCCCCATAACTCTTTCAAGTAAAATAAATAAATCTTTTTAAAAATTTATTTATTTTTATTGCAAAGTCAGATTATATATATATATATATATATATAGAGAGAGAGAGAGAGAGAGAGAAGAGAGAGAGAAGAAGAGAGAGAGGAAGATCTTTCGTCTGTTGATACACAAGTGACCCCAAGGGCCGGAGCTGAACTGATCCGAAGCCAAAAGCCAAGAGCTCTTGTGGGTCTCCCACACAGGCGCGAGGTTCCAAGGCTCTGGGCCATCCTCCACTGCCTTCCCAGGTCACAAGCAGGGAGCTGGATGGGAAGTGGAGCTGCCGGGATTAGAACTGGCGCCTTTATGGGATCCTGGTGTGTTCAAGGCGAGGACTTTAGCCGCTAGACCACTGTGCCAGGCCAAGTAAAATAAATAAATCTTAAGAGAGAGAGAGAGAGAGAACTACTTTCATGGCTGATCCTATGGCATAGTAGGGTAAAGCTGCTACCTGCAGTGTTGGCATTCTATGTAGGCACCTGTTCAAGTTCCAGCTGCTCTTCTTTCACTACAACATCTGGAAAAGTGGTGAATAACCCAAGTACCTGGGCCCCTGCATCCAGGTGGGAGAGCCAAATGCAGCTCCTGGCTTTAGCCTGGCCCAGTCCCTGCTGTTATAACCATTTGGGGGAATGAATCAGCAGACAGAAGATCTCTCTGCCTCTCCCACTCTTTCTGTAACTCTCCGCTTCAAATAAATAAGTCTCGACACGTTTTTTTTTTTCAGTGATTACTTTCAACTCTTTTAGCTGCCTTTCTGTAAAGCTACTTCCAAACTGTCAAGTTTTTTTTTTTGTTTTTTTTTTTTTTTGCCTCTTACACAATCTCTCAATTCAGCTGTTTCAGATCCACCCCTGGACTTCTGCTGGGTGGGGACTTTTGCTCACAGTATCCACCCCCACGTCACGCCCTGGGGAGCACTGTGCAATCCTAGGAACAGTCACCTCACACCCCTCACTGCACAGTGAGTCCTCCCTGAGGATGTCCCCACTCCTCAGCTCTTCCTGCCACGGGGAAGAGCCTCACCCACTGGGGTCCTTGTCATCAGTGCAGGTTGTATCTGGCATCAAGCAAAGCTTCTGTCTGTTTTGGTCTTTCTCAAGTTCAAGATCCTCCAAGAACCAAGTTTCATCTACCTTGTGGCTTCAGTACCCTCAATGCA